CTTCAGAGAAGTAATAGAAGGGCAAAAGCTGAGCTGGATGGCTTCCCACTAGGGAGGGGACGTCCCTGTAGGTAGGCTTCTCGCTGGGGACTCCTCTGCTCCAGGCTTTCCAAAGGGTCTTTAATGTGCGGCCATGAAGGGCTTCTCCTGACTGCCTGTGGGAGACCGTGATGTACAGGCCTTTGAGTGAGAGTCACCCTGGACTCCCCTTGTAGTTCCTGGAGAACTTAGCAGTACAACCGGCGTTTCTTTAATTGTCCTCTTGTTCTGAGATGTTCGGGGAAGTTAGTATTATGCTTCTGAACCTCTGCATCCTGCTGCCTGGGTGGACTTTGAGTGACACAGGCCTGATCCTACACCACTTGAAGTCTCCCAGGCTCATGTCACTTGATTTGGGAGGCAGTGTAGGCAGTAGCCCTCTTCTTGGAAAGCGAAATGTGTGAGACTGGGCCTGAAGCAGTGGCAGGTACAGCCATTTCTTGCCGGTCTGTCTCCATTCCCTGGCAGGTCTTAGCGAAATGAATTGTATTACAAATAAGTATGTCGCAACCATCAGAAGGGTGGTGCATCCATCTACATCTGTCTGGGTCTGCGGGGAGCGCCTTCTCTCCACAGGAAAGGCAGCCAAGGTCTTTTCTCTCGTGCTCTGGATTCTCTCGCCCATGCAGCATCCAAGTGTTTCACTGCCTGAAGCACGAGGGCACGGGTGGGCGGACGCTGCTGGTGGATGGTTTCTACGCGGCAGAGCAGGTTCTCCGGCAAGCCCCTGATCAATTCGAGCTGCTCAGCAAGGTGCCGTTGAAGCACGAGTATGTTGAGAACGTGGGAGACTGTCACAACCACATGATCGGAGTTGGGCCGGTCCTCAATGTCTATCCCTGGAACAACGAGCTTTATCTGATCAGGTAACATCAATGTGAGGCCTCTTGCTTATGGGGAGGAGGGGGGATTGTGGCAGACGGTAGTGGTTTTCCAGAAGATATCGTAAACTGAAAACCAACGTATGTTTGAGGGGCAGGGGTGAAACCACAGAAACACCCTGCATTTCCTCCTGGGCTGTGCACTGCTGCTTTAGAGGAAGTGTCAGAACCACCAATACAAAGATGAGCGTCAGTGCTGAGCTTTGATTTTTATTTTTTTTTCCACTCCTGTCATCCTCCCTTCAGCTCCATGCCCTCATCTCGCCTCATGTGAGAGGCAGTAGAATTCAGCCCTTCTCTGAAAGAGCCTCTAGAAACTAGCCTGCCGTACAGGGAAGGGGGAGAGCGCAGGCTGGTCCCCTTCCAAAGGAAATTTGGGCTGCTTTCTGAAACTCTGGCTTGGCTTAGTGCGGGAGGCTGTCCAGCACTGCTTCGCACTTTTATTCTGAACAGCTCTCTGTCTTACCCGTTGTTGCGGCGCATCCTCCCATGGAAAACCAGCAAGAACAGTTTTACACTTGACAGTAGACTCCTCCTTGCTCCCAGTGTTGTGTATTCTCCTGAAAGTCCTGCGCTTGCAGCATAACCTTCCCTGGTCATCTCTGTAGCCTCCCTTAAATACTGAGTAATCCTACAGGCTCCTGAGGTTCCCTCTGGAAATACCTGGCTGTGCTCGTGGAGCCACGTGGGCAGTCTCTTATCTCTGCTTTACTTTCAGATACAATAACTATGATCGTGCTGTCATCAACACCGTGCCTTATGATGTTGTGCATCGCTGGTACGCTGCTCACCGCACACTCACCACAGAGCTCAGGAGACCAGAAAATGAACTGTGGGTCAAACTGAAGCCGGGCAAGGTAGGACTTGGAGTTGGGAGGCTCGTGTGTGTTTGGTACAGGGAGGGTGGCAGGGTGCTTCTTCAGATGTGCAGGCTTGTTGCGACTGCGGTAAAAGCTTCAGGCAAGCTCCGTATGCTGCCATTTTCCTCTTTACAGCTGTTTTAAGGTGCCCTGTATTACAGTACTGGCATCTGGGGGGGGGGGAGTGTGTCCTACTGTCCTAAAAGAATACGAGCTTCCGGATAAGGCAGAAATGTTTAATTTAAACGCTGCCTCAGAGGAAAGTTAGTCCCAACTGGGGGAGAGGAGGAAGATCTTTCCAGTCACCGAAATGAGGACCTTCAGAAGCAGAGAGGCTGGGAACACTTAATGTTCAGCCTCTAACTTCTTCCAGAAGTAAATCTTTGATGGAACTATAAAGGTGTGGGAAACTGAATTTACTTCTGTTCTGAGGTTATGTTTGAACCCTGACATTGCCAGCGAATCACAGGAGACCTAGGCTATCTTCACTGTCCCAGAAATGCCTAAGGTGCCGTAGCACACCTTGGTACTGAAAGGAAAAAGCTCTGCCCTGTGTTTGAAAGGGTGATGCTGGGTGCGGCTTTGGAGGAGCTTGAAGAGCTAGAGCCGCGGTTGCAGACTTGAAGGTGTTACGGTGCATGGCTTCTTCCTCCAGCTGTGCCTGCTTGAAGGGGTTTTATTCCTACAAAGTCTAGATTCAGCCTGAGCCCGGGGCCTCAAAAATTAAACAGTCCAGCAGGGAAGATGACCATATCGGAGCCCCTACACCTCTCTGTTCCTAAGGATGCCTTGGGGTGAGGTGACGCCATAGAGGCTGAAGATGGCCAGTTTCTGTTGCTGGTGAACTATTGCGCAACCTCTCTTAATAGAAAAGCAAAGAAACACCCCAGAATGTATTTCTGGGCTTTGCTAGCTGTCATGTTTAGCTTGTGGTTAGCAGCAGAGCAAAACTGCTGGCTAAAGCAGGTAAAACAGCTGTGCTAGATCACATGAAGCATCTGGCTATAGTCTCATGTGCTGCCTGACAGAGTTGAACAGGAAGGGTCCTGCCCACCGTGGCATACCCTTACTTGCTCTTCCAGTCTCTAGGGATCTCCAGCTCCAGGACCTGTCCTGCTGGAGGATCCCGGCCCTGGCTGCGGTGGCTGCCCTTCTTCTGACGGCCTTTTCTCTTCGCCTGCAGGCACTGTTCATAGACAACTGGCGCGTCCTGCATGGACGGGAAGCGTTCACAGGGTACCGCCAGCTCTGTGGCTGCTACCTGACGAGAGACGATGTGCTGAACACCGCGCGCTTACTGGGACTCCAAGCTTAGCCCAGACCACCCTCCGCGGAGAGGCAGTCAGAACTCCAGCACCACCATGCTGGTGCGTCACCACGATGAAGATATTGCACATACCTCAGACACCTCCACCCTCTCCACGCAGTTCTCGGTGCCTGCTCAGGAGAGGGAGCAGGTGGAAGCCAAAGGTTATGGGAGCTTTATGGGACCGTATTCTGCCTTTGAGCATGGTCGGCTCTTGCTGTCTGTGCAGCCAGCCTGGTCTTTCCAGCCAGCCAGTCTGCCTCAGCTCTGCTGAGTGAGGGTTAATCACACCGTGGGAAGTGCTCCCAGCACCTGTTGATGTGAAGTGCTCCTCCAATCAAGTGCCTTCAGGATTTGAAATCTTTGCGTTTTTCCCTGTTGTTCAGCCTTTTGGTCAGCTGGCAGTTCTAGGGGTTTTTTAGCAGAGCAGAATGGAAATCTTTGGGGTCTTGTCTCACCCCAGACTGGACTTTACCCCTTCTAGAGAAAATGAAAGTGTACGGTCCCTATTTGATGAAAATGCCACTACTCAAACTGAGGGGCGTTGGCATATTTCGGTGACTTCTTTCTTCTTAAACATACTCCGTACCCCTGTAACAGTCACTGATACGAGCCATGCTGCTTGGGAGATGACCTGGAAAGAGAACCTGGTATAGTTAGGGTATTTCTGAAAAGGTTTAGGTTAGAAGGAAAGGGGGAAGTAGCAAGATCTGCATGTTGGGAAGGAGAGATGACTGTGTTAGATGAGGAATATATTTCTCGTGTTTCCTTGACTTCCAGTAATGTAATGCTTGTGTTCTTTCTGCCTGTTGCACTGTGCTTGTATCAAGGGCGAAGGCCCAGTAGCTACAGTATTTGCTGACGAATTTCGCACTGTGCCTGCTCGTTCATCTTTTCTGAAGAAGGAATTTGTGTTAGGTCATCATTACACTGGCTGCTGGATGAGGCTGACTGGTTTGTTGGTTTTTTTTTTTCCCCACCAGATTCTCCTGAATATGAAGGTAATGAGCACAGAGGTGCCTTTCAGCTCCTGGTAGCTGGGAGGATAAACTGGAGTCTGGCACATTGAAGGGCCACAGTGTAAGGAACAAAAGCAAATCCTATCATTAGTAGAAACATCGGAATTTTAGAACCAGGAGGAGGGTATTTTAGGATTTGTTTATTTTTCATTCTTCCATATCTTTGGGGGTGTTCACTCGGCTCTGACTAGACCTTAAAACGGGGCTGGTCCCTTTCACTCTTGGCTTTCCTGTGCAAGCAAGATGCTCTTGTGTCCAAGGTACAAGTGCAGCGCAGATGCGTATGTGCTAAACTTGCTGCCCTCATTTAATCTAAATACTGAATATATAGATCCTAGTGTTAAGAGACGCTCTTGAAAGCTTCTCTTCATGTGGACTGAGCTGCCTGACGCTGTCTCTCACAGTATTTCCCGTCTGCAGTGAGCCACTGCTGCAGTCATCAGGAGTTGGAAGGGGTTTCTGAATGAGGGCTTGGCAGGAAGCTGTTGATCAGAGGGTATGCGAGGAAGTGAAACACGAGCAATGCTGGCAGGTAATACAAGCTTGAAGTAAGCTGGCTTCTGTCAGGTACGCCTCCCGGGGCCTGTGAACGGCAGCCTCAGACGCAGGCAGGAACTTGAATTTTCCTCTAGGCTGAGCCAGTGAATTCCTTGAGCAGTCTGCAGCACATATTCTGTTACTTTCTTTATCAGGCATTTTGTTTATAGGTTCTCCTTGGGTGCCAGTTACGCCAGCACAACTTAAATGTGAAGTTTTACAGATCTTTGTTAATCACGCTGAAGTAGCAAACCACAGCGGTTACGTACGCGGTCCCTCACGCAGCCCAGCTCACGTGCTGCGGGGTTGGTTTCCCCCTGTGCTGCTGGGTGAAGCCGTGGCCTGGAGCATAGGGGAAGAGGTGGTGACAAAAAACAATCCCTGTGTTGGCTGACAAAGGACCCTGATTGGTAGTTGAAATACTTGAGCAGTGGAGCCCTCTTTCAAATTATTTGAGGGTATCCAGGGTTCCTGAGCTTTCTTTGCCTCCCTGCGCCCGCAGGATACGAGGGAAAGCCCTTGGGTAATGTGGAAACCTTCCCTTAGTCAGTGAGATCAGCTTTACCTTCCCCTGCTCAGGGGACCTCCGTCTTTATCAGCTGCAAGCTGAAAATCTGCCGCTACCCTGAGCTGGAGCATGCAGGACTATGGCTAGCACAAGGGAGAACCGACCGAAGTGTATTGATGACAGATTGTCCTGACATAGGTGCCTTTCTGACGAGGAACGTGGTGACTGTAGCTCTGCCTCCCACTGCGGCTGCTGCTGCCAAGGGCTGTGGTCTTCAGACACCACCCTCCTCTTATGAGCCAACTCCAAGCCAGCACACTCCTCCAGGTAACTGTGTAATCTGTTTCGGGGAAAATTGTTCATGGTGAATGTAGAAGGAACACGTTTCCTCATAAGTATTATTCAAATTAATTTAACCACCCCAACAATAAAATGTGGAGTGGAGAGAGCTTTGTTTAAATTTTGTGCTTCACCTCTCCCCGCTTCCCACGAGGGCTAAATTCTTCCTAAGCAGCTTGTGAGCATCAAACCTTCATTTGAAGGAACGGGACTTCTTGGCAATTGCCACCTGTCTGATACGGGCGTTTGTTGTGCCGTGTTACGGAACGGGTCCTCTTTGCTGTAATGATACCGGACCAGTTTTTGCAATCAAGCTTTTTCAGTTCTTTCAGCCAATAAATGATGAACAGCTTCGTTCTCCTTCCCACTATGCTAGTGATCTGCTGTGTTTAAGACGTTTTCCAAAACTAAGAAATCAAGTCTTCAAATAAATGATTTCATAAAGTGGTCAGCTTAACAAAATATATTTCAAGCAATCATGAACTTGAAAATAAGTCTGTATTACCCATCAAGGGTGGAATAAACGTGAGGAGCAGTAAAGCAATGCATCTCCGTTCATTCTTTCACTGGCCACACGGTGGCAGAAGATGCAAGAAATTAGTATTAAGAAGTCAATGACAAGTCCCATCCCTGTGTGGCTTTAGGGCTAGCGGTGGTGCTGGTTCTCTTTCGTCTGCTGTGCTATATCCGTTTCTTTTGAGAACCCCAGGAGTGGCTGTTCAAAAGCCTATACGACTATGAACGCTTTTAAGGAGCTGCAGGATGTGATGTCCATCGTGCCAAAGAAGGGTTGGGGAGAGGTATGGAGATGCACCTGACCTTGTGCACCCTGAACAAATTCCCCCACCCCCATATGCACCTTCAGTTGCCTCCATTTGCCCTCCAGTGCCCCCCACGTCCCCCTGTTTGGTGTCTTGTCTCCCCAGGATCCCCTTTCATCCCCTTGGGACCGCTCCCCTTCCTCTTGGGTGTGCAGGACAGCCCACCGTTCAGCTTCTGGTGCTCCCCAGAGTCCTCAGTCCTTCAGTGAAACCAGAGGCCCCCCCATTTACCTTCTTGGTCGCATCAGGAACCCCCATTTTTCCTCCAGTATGCCCCAGAGCTTTCTGTTTTCCTCCCGGTGTGCCCCAGAGCCCCCTGCTCGCCCACAGGTCTCAGGATTGCTCTGTTTCATCTTTTGGTGCATCCCCCCTTTGCCCTTTGGTCCCCTCCATTAGCCCCCCTGTGCAGCCAGGAGCCTTTTGCTCTTCACAGGACTCGCATAAAAAAGAAATAAGCTGCTTTCCACTCCGCAAAGAACAGTTTGATAGAAAGAGAGGCTACCAAAAAAGGAAAAAGAATGCATGTATCTTTCTTGCAACCGTTTGATCCGTGCTTCCCTCAATTATAATCTACATGTAGTGATGAAAAGCCTTTTCTTACATAAAAAGAAGTTTTAATTCTGCACTTGCTGTACTGAAATTATTCTTAGCTAAGCTGAGAAGTATTCACATTTTTTGCTTTACTTGTCATTTCTCTCCTTTTTGGCTACTGGAAAACATAGAAGCTATTTTAATAGGGTCCTTCAGCTAAGTTAACTAAAAATGTGTTACCAAAAGTTAATAATTCACTGAACTAAAAACCTTAGTTCAAGCCGGAACTGTCAGGATCAGAGAGACACAAACAGTTTTGCTATGGAAATGGGGCAATATGAATTTACAGAAGAACAAGGCGGAAGCAAATTAATATGTGGCAACTATCACAATTTCAAGGAAAGACAGATGGTGCAAACAAATTTCCTTGTGGTTAACCTCGGAGGCGTGCGGGGAGGGCGGACGGCTGTTTATAGTATGTGAAATATTAAAGGTAGCGTGCAGACCACACAGCAAACCTCACAGTAACAAACTCTCCCAGAAACTCTGCCGTACACCTCCCGCTCTTCTTAAATTCTTAAATAATCCGCAGCAACGCGGGCATCGCTGTTTTGAGCAGGGACATGCGAGTACTCTCTCTCCCATGCACCAAACAATTGGTACCTGCTAATTTTACCCAGCGTCTCTTTTCTCCTCACCTTTTTCCATTTGAACTTCAAAGAATTCCTTAGTCATTAGCCAGAGAAAATTAGGTATTCGTTGACGGATGTTGCTATGCTGCTAATGGGAAGTACCCGTTTCCAGTTCATTACTGTTCATTAACTGTATTGTCGTAGCACTTTGAGCCTCGGGAACGTAATGGGGATAAACATATTAGATGAGGGAGGGAAGCAAATTATTACCTAGTCCCCCTTTAATAACTTCGATAGATTCAATGAAATAAAGGGAAAACCTTAGCAAACTCATAGGAGTCTGGTGATTATAGCACCAGACCGAGATTTTCCAAGTGATTGATTATTCTGCTGTTATTTCACACCGACCCATCTACTGGATATGTACGATTGGCTTGTGGTTAATTAATCCTTTACAGCACCTCTAAAGGGTTTAGGGCTGGGCACGGCAGCAGTGGGGCTGGGGGAGACAGGGCTGGCAGAGCACCCCCTGCTCGGCACAGCGCACGGCTCCAGCTCCCCCGCCCTCCAGCCCAAAGAGGCAAAAAAGGGACAAAAAAAGGGGGTTTTATGTAAAAGCAGCCACTAGGGCTCACCCTAAAACCTGTTGCTCAAAAGCAGTTTGATTTCTCAGAACAGCCAAACCTCAAAATGTTTTACAGGCAGGGAATTTTATTATTTTACTGAAAAAAACCTGAAGGCAAAACCAGCTTTGTTGTTCGGAAACTCCTGTTCGGACCCCCCTGGGGCAGATCAATCCCGTCTCTGCAGAGCTCCAGCATCTCACCCCGGGGAAATACCAGCAGGGAATTCTAACTAAGAAGATTTCGATGAAGAATTTGGGCTTGAAAACACTGGGAAGGAGGAAAGCAGAAGCTGTAAGAGGCAACAAGAGGTGAAAGGCTGCTGCTAAGCAGAAGAGAAGATGTGAAATAAAGAGAGAATAAAGATTCCCAGAAGTCAGAGTTACATTCTGAGAAAACACTGCATGTTTAAAGAAACAATCCCCTCCAGCACCAGTTAAGGACACTTTTAAACGCACATACGTAAGCCCTGGTGAAAGGTAAGGAGACGTTTCGCTATCGACATTTGCTGGATCAGACTTCAGTGTCAAAAAAGGGGGGAAAAAAAAAAACCAAGACACTTGTGAAAGACACAGAGCACAAGTAATCCGGCTGACCGCAGGAAAAAGAGCATTAGCCCTTTCTCCTGCATCAAAATCCTTCTGTCAAAACACTGGTTATGCAGAAAACTGATTTTTCGGGGGGAAGCATCTGTCGAGCAGCACGTTTGTCGTGGTACCTCCACAAAGCAGAGGGGGGGGGCGCGTCACACACCTGCTGACTACTGCCTGCTCTCCATCTGCGAGCATTTATTCCATTTAGAGGTTTGTATTTTGCTGATGTGCGTATTAATGTAAAATGCAGGAGTCGCAGATGGTGACGCTTCGTGCTCAGCAACATGCAAGAAGGGGCAAAACTATTCCCTGCAGAAGTTTAGGGAAGGAAGAAATGGGTATATTTTGAATGACAAGATTATATATATCCAAACCCTTGAGGACTCGTAATTTAGCTCATCTGGAAAAGCTCGCGTGCTCCACTGGGATGAGCTCTCTAAACACAGCCTGAAGCCGCTCCGGGCACAGGGACAGCCCCTGACAAGGCTTTGCATCAGCAAGTTCGCAGCAAATCACCTGGATGAAGGATGCACGTAAGCTTTTTCCTCCAGATTTCAGGTTTAATCTTTATTTCCACAAGATTTTCATTTCATTTCTGTGTCCTTTCCAGATATTTGCAGCCATTGTGTGTGTCTTTCCGGATATTGTAAACAAATACTTTTCCTTTAACGTGGCTCCGGGTGAAGAGGATTTGAAGGCAATTAGGTAATAAAAGGGCAGTCTTTTCCCAGGGGCGTGTTGATGAACGGTGGTCCATAAAATCAGCCCCAAAGCTTTCCCTGGGGAAGAGAAGCAAAGGGGGTTGTGGTGGTTTTCTGTGCACAAAATGAGTGGGCAGCAAGCACTGCAGGAGGCGGGGGGGGGGTGAAGGTGTGTCTCTGTGAGGGGCAGTAACTAGCTGGGCTCTCTGATATGTGGTAGGGTGGGGGATTTTCCACTACCCCCAGAG